CTGCACAAAAGTAGTCCATGTTTTGGGTAAATGAAATCAATATTACTTTTGATTCGAACTAACGGCTCCAGTATCGACACTATTTTATATATATTGCCACTCCAATGTTATTGTTATCCCAGTATAATTCGACACTGCTAAAATGCAGTGAAAATCCATCTCATCGTAACCATAGGACGGGACCCCCGGGAAGGAGCGACTGTTGCCTCTTGTAGAAGAATTGCAGCGGTTTCCAGAGTTTCGAGAGCGTTGGATCCGGTATAGCGCGTACGATGCCGAATGCACGTGGTTTTTGCATAAAGTATGTACCTTGCGACTCGGATAAACCAATTGACACTGAAACGAACTCTCTCGTTCATGCGTTTACGTCTGTTTTGATTCGTAGGTGCTGCAACACAAATTGCAAGATACGACGTGGCACTTGGAGACGTCGGCGGACGGTGTCGTGTCCCGCTACACCATGTAAAATCTATATATATATATGCGTGACATTTGAAAAATGTGTGATTTCGAAACGGCATCACTGATGCAATTTATACACTATAATATATATATATATATATATGCGTGTCATTTTACAAATGTGTGATTTCGAAACTGCATCACTGATGTAAATGTATATATATATATATATATATGCGTGACATTTGACACATGTGTGATTTTGAAACGGCATCACTGATGTAATTTATACACTGTATTAAGAGGATCCAAGTATGAATAAGTATACTATTGTGTAGTAGTCCTCCGATGATGAATCTACATACGTTTCGTCACAATTACTATGATTCGTTTAAAATATGCATCGAATAAAACCCATTTCGAAGTGAGTGGAAGGGAATCCCTCAGTATAGTAGTACTAGGGTTCATATTCATATATAATCTACTTTTGCAAGTTGGGATTCAATACCAACCTACGACATTCGCCATGCACATGGGAACATTGTAATTGTCGTCTTCGCTGAAATGTGGACTTAGCACTTGATTCGAGCATCTGATTTTTAAGCTTCTTCAATGTATGGTATTCAAATTTAAAGATGTGGTGTTATCACGATGCTGATCGATGATTGGTTGAAACTCTCCTCCTTAGTGCCACTGGATTGGCCAATGTATTCAAAAAATGCATTTGCCAAATATTGATTCGATTCAAAGTCGAATCGATTTGACAAAATACGAGTTTGGGATCGTTGATTTTCCCATACTTCGAAGCTCGAATGGTTATATGTTTGACAGGTTTACGTTTTAAACACTTTATTATTTATTCAGAATTTTTACAATTATTTGAAAAATATTCTGTTTCGAAGCGTACGTACATACAGTATATTGTGCTTTGGAGCCAAATCCTTTGCTCGATGATGATGATGTTTTCGATGCTGAATTTTGTATAATCAACGTATCACACACTATTTCAAGTCACACCTGAATTCTTGAATCGTGTTGTGGGTTTTGATTGGTCGATGATACTCCGTCGATGCTCCAACTACGAATTGAATATGATTTGTTGTCTTATATTGTGCTTTCAAGTGAAATTTCGTGTTGTGGTGTGGTTTCTCGTTGGAATTTAATTCGAATTGATTGGCTACTTCAGAAGAGCTCAAAATTATTAGCCAATCAAAACCCATTTCTCAATGAAATTCAACCAATCAGATCGATTGTGGATCGGTTTGGTTGGCGCGATTCGATTGCACCCCCTCCCCATATTTGTATATCAAATCGACAATACTAGTACAAGGTTTGTGAAAAAAATACTGTGTAGGTATGACTTTTACGTCGAGTATTTGGTTCCGTTTGGCGAGTGTTTGACCGACTTGGAGCGAAAAGGCATGCACGTGGACTTGCCATATCTCGCCAAAGTAGAGCGGCAAGCGCTGGATGACCGCGCCGCGCTTGAAGAACAAGTCAGGCAATGGGTGTCCAGGTACTTATTTGGATATCTTTGAGAAAAATATATAAATATTTGGGATTTTTGGGCAGACTTCGAGTTTTGTACTGAAATTTGGATGTACACAAAGGCCAGTGGAGATGACAATCACACTAATTGGAGTGTCCTGATGGAAAGCTTTGTGTTATCCAGTGGGGATGCTACCCATCACACTAATTTGAGTCCCGCGCGTACTTAGTTGTGGATGGTGGACCTGAGTACTGCGTAAACAATCTGATTGTTGATTGGCTATCGATTTAAACTAGACGGGCGTTTTTGTGGTGGTGGTGTTTATTCCAAACAAGAGCTGGTTAGCTAATATTTATTTAGCTCAACGCACACACTGGGGGATTATATATTTCGTTTACTCTATGTTTGGGTTGTGGACTTTATGTATTGTTAAATAATATATTATATATAGATACGTTCCCGAAGCGCATCGGATGAACTTGGCGAGTGCAAGCCAAAAACAACAATTGCTGTTTGCGCCGTTTTCCAATCCCCACAAAAATATCGAGTTACCCGTGGAGCGCCTCTTTGACGTGGACAACATTGAACAAGTCGTTGAAAACCCCGAAAAGCAATCGAAACCCAAGAAAAAGCGATCGATTGCGATCCGGGGGCTTGGCATCCCGCCCGTGCAGTTTACAGCGTCGGGAAACCCCGCCGCCACCGCCGACGCGCTTAAGGAACTCGCAGGCAACGTACGTCTCACGTGTTTATTATTATTATTATTATTATTACCTACAATGGTAATAGGATTTGTTTGGCTTTTTTTCATTTTTTTTACAAACAAGAATATTTACCTTGTATGGAAGTCTTTAGAGTGGATCATAAATTATTTTCTACTGGACAAGTAGTATCCATATTTCACTTTGATTTGGAACTTCCATGTTTGAAAATATATAGAAACTATTTTGAATGATAAAAAACAATCTATAATAAGAATAAATAAATAAAAATAAATATTTAATTATACTTTTGTTAAGAATTATTTTAAAAGTGATTTTAGCCACTGGCAACACCGCCACAGTATGGACGAGCGTTTGATCATTTTGAAGACCCTGAAGAAGGCGCGGCGGCGTGCCAGGCGCTGAAAAAGATGTACGACATGAGCTCCATGGACACAATGATCAACAACTTTATCCTGCCGCTGCAAGGTATAAACTTGTCCTTTTACCCAAAATGGCGACTTTTGCGCTGATTCGCCAAATGTATCGATCGATTGTTTGTACTGACTTTTGTAAGAATCACATCCGACGTCACATGCACACTAATTCAATGTTGAATTAATTGGTCGAAGGGACGATTTTTGATTGGCCAGTTAATTCGAGTTCTTCGTTTTGATTGGTCGATCTTGATTGTCTGCCTTCGATTTGGTTATTCTGCTCATTTGATTGAGCATCGCACTCGAATTTCGAATCGACTTGACAATAACCTGTCTATTTGCGAAAATGGATACTGGGTTGTCGTGAATAAAACTGATAGCTTCATTTGTACATCGACGCCACGTGTGATCCTATATCTTTGTATGTAGAAAGGTATCGGAATTCACCTTTCTATATATATATGTAGAAAGGTATAGGATTTCACAGGACTCGATAAAAAGGTGCATTCTAAAGTATGTATACTTATTGGAAGCGGTTCGTACAACGTTTTTGCATTATAGTATTGTCGATGATTCGGTGCAAATTTCCAGACCCCGTCGAATCGAATCACGAATCGACGTTATTGGCTAATCCATTCTATAGAGTGGATTTGATTGGCTCAAAAGGACAAGTATATTCAACCAATCAGAACTCCGGCGTGATTTATATTGATTCGACAAACCAGGCGAATTTTGGAAATATATAGCGAATTCACAATATTGTGTTTTTGCGTATAATTTGGGCTTTTGTGCTGATTCGCAAAGTGCATCAATCGATTGTTTGTACGGAGTTTTGTACATACTTTTGCGGATTCTTTGGTTCATTTATTTGGTCTGGGCCGTCGATTTTTCATTCTCCATGTCGCTCCAGTTTAGCATAAACACAACAATATATATTTTGGTACTTGAAGTCTAAATAGAGTAGTTATATATATAGTCGTGGGTGGGTGTATAGGATTTCACACGTCCATAACTTTGCATTATATATAGTCTATATCTTGTATAGAGTAAGTTGTATATAGTGGTGTATATATATTAGTGTGTGATATACTATATGCATGTAAATGTAACCTGTGGCGATAGAATTGGCCGACGCCGACGGCCGTGTGCATGGCGCGTTGAACTTAAACACAGACACTGGTCGCCTGAGTTCTCGAAAGCCCAACCTCCAAAACCAAGTACCTGTCGACATCATATACACTTACAAATCAACTATAAATAGCCCGCAATGGACAAAGATCGGTACAAAATCAGAGATGCGTTCACGGCGCCCGAAGGCAAACTGCTCGTTGTCGCAGATTACAGTCAACTGGAGCTTCGGCTGCTGGCCCATGTCACACAGTGCCAAGGCATGATCGACGCCTTCAAGGTACGACCTAACAAGTTGGAGCGTACAAACATCTTCTATCCATACATACATGTGTTTGATTGCAAAGTGTTGATATATATATGTTGATTGGAAAGGGGCTATATCGAACCATGGTTATGTATGTATATATATAATGTGGCTATACATTTATGTTTATAGAAATGCATAGTTACATTTCCAATATGCATATATATATTATATATATATATATTATATATATATATATATTGCATAGAAACCATATACAATAGAAAAGTTGTAGATGCGGTTTGTTGGTGTCTTGTTTCAATCTCAATGTTGTTTTGGACACACATGCTTTGCGTGATATATATATATATATAATGTGTATGTGATGTTTGGATGATATATATAATGTGTATGTGATGTTTGCGTGATATATATATATATATATATATATATATATATATAT